TTGGTGATCTCGTGATATCGAAAGAATATCAAGATCCAAACAAACATTACAGGCGAGACTACCGAGGCAACGTGAGCAATGTCAGGGTCGTGTGATCAGGAAGATAATGGTCAGTCAGTCAGTTACAACGTAGAACTTCGTACGTAAGTACATCAGTTCAAATTGCCATACCACATAAGCACAGAGACGCCAATGCCAATTCTAATCCCATAGTAGTAGACGTAGTAAAAGTCTTAGAAGTAATCGGAGAGGTTAGGATTAGAAGATATTATTCAAGAAGTATAATTCAGTGAGGTAAATTTAGAAAAAGAAAGATAGAGGTGATGAGTAGTTCAGAAGGTTAAAATTTGAGAGAACAGGAAGAGTGAATACACCTGCACCATTGTAAACGGTTTCGAACCATGTCATTTAGGATCTTTAACCATCGATTGCTATCATCCCGCTGACCTCAACCAGATAGTCGACACCTACAGACATGACTTAGTCCACTTGTCAGTGACTTTATATATTTCTTTCATGTTTTGGTCTGGCCGCTCCTAGCTTTCGTCCATCCTTATTCCTACATCGCAAAACAGCTCGACGAGGCAGTCGGTGGTTAGCCATACGTAACACATGTCCCAACCACCTCAAATGATGAAGTTTCATTACTCCATCTTTTGATTTGCCATCCTTACCTAATACTCGATTCCTAGCGACAGCATTGCCTACTCGACTGTCCCACGATACTCGAGCAATGCTTCGGAGACTCATGTGGTCGAAAACCAGTAACCTACAAATATCTTCTCGGACTGACTATGTTTTACAGCCATAAAGTATGGCTGAGTGAACTACTGCGCAGTACACTAGTCCTTTAGTCAGCAAATGGATATTTCGCCTTCACCATAAGTGACGCAGAATGGCGAAAGCAAATCGAGCTTTTTGTATCCGTGCTGAGATTTCGTCAGTCAGGAATGATGATGGTTTTTGGTACAGATAAACAATGTAGTATAGTAAAACAATCTCTGGTACAATGGGTTACAATAATGAATGTTTATAAGAAACCAATCGTGTTCTCTTTATAAAAGGAGGGTCACTACAGTTATTTAACTCAAGAACTACGCTCGATGTTTTCTCAGCTAGTTGTTTTATGTTGGAAATAATCCAAGTAGTGTCAAGTTTATCAAACTCTTCAGTCCAGTTACACATTTGAGAGAGTATAGAACTGATAACTGCAAATGTTGAGAAGTGTTTTGTGGAAGGAAAGTGATTTTTAAATCTACACTTGGTTACAATAGTTGAAGACATTTGTGACGAGAGATAAGTGAATACGAATTTGAAAGGAAATGAATTTGTAAGCATATGACGCTACCGATTCAACTCGTTACGCACAGCTGTCAAATAAAAGCTCAGTTTTTAAGTTTAAGAACTCGTACTACAAAGTATATACATGAAGTTTATGAGAACTGAATGGATTCATCGGTTTGATAGCTTATTTGCTGCTTTGGCCACAGATCGACCTGTTGATAGGTTTTCATATAACAACTCGATTATTATCTATGAATCTACCAAAATTTATCATTTATCAGCATTAGACAGTGATACATATATTTGTATATAATGGACAGATTGTAGGTAGGATAAAAACAATCATGGTTGAATTCAAATCGTAATATTGATTAATTTAACTAGCTATTCAGTTTGCAATCTGTCCCACATTCTTTAATTTGCATAAAACTACTTTCATTCAGAATAGACCAAATGAAAGTAAGTTTATTCGAATTATCAGCGTTGTTTGTAAAAATTCCATTGTCGCTTCGATAAATCCTATCTAACTGGTTTGATTATTAGTCTTTTTTGCTCAACAGCATACAGTAGAAGTTATTTTTTTTAAAATCCATTACTAACCAATAACCATGGCATCGATCACTTCAGATGACATTAATTAATTATAAAATTTTTGACAGAATTTAAAAGATTTATAAGTAAGGTTTCATATAGTATATATGACGTGATGTTTAAGTTAAGTAGCTATGTGACGAATCTTTAAAATAACCTAATGTAATTGTTTCAAATATAGGAGATTTTCAGAATAATTACAATTTAAGTACAAGATGACTGCTAATCAGCATTAAGAAATGTTTTATCATTAATGTACAATAAATGATCAGAATTATTGATGTTTGAGCAGTACATGAAGTTATTTCCACGTACTTTCCTGTTTTGTAGCTTACCTAAATTTATCAAGAAGGTAAATATGGAGGATGCTTCTCGCTTATCATTTTCTGGCCTTTACCCAAAGTTAACTTTTGGATATTTAGCAAACTTTTTTTATAAACCTTCATCACAAAGTCGGCAATCTTCACATAGAGATTTCACATTTCCTGGAAATTTAGTGACGAGATATATAGATATAGATATTCAAGTTGCGTTATTAGCTATTCTCTTACATATCTCCTCAGGATATATTAGCTCTGTTTATATGGTTATCTCCATTGTAATGATTTAATTGGAGTCAAAAAGATTTCTATTATTAAATGTAAAAATAATATTTCAAATAGTATGAACAAATGGGATTGTGATGAACGTTCGCATTGCTGTGCAGACAAAACTTTGAGCTATGTTATTCATTGAATAATTTCATTTCAGTGCTGAAAATACTAAACATTTTAAATGAAGTCAGTCTATGTAGTACATTAAAAAACAAAGAAATTGGTTTAACTGCGTCTTAAATAGTGTCGTTGAAGAGATACTTAGTATTGTAAGACAACATGCTGTGGCATCGGAAAAATAATCAACGGGTCAACACATGAAGTGTCACTTTTGTGATATGATTCAAGTGTTATTCACAAGTTAGTGTTAAAGGAGTTTCATGTCACTTTGTTGGTGCGTGTTTTTTTTTGCGAATCTGATTCATTCACTGTGTGTGAACCCCTGAACTAAGTTATTTACTTGTCAATCACTACAGAGGTATACGAAGTAACATGCCTATCACAAAGTTAGGCTATTTGGCCAAAAGTAAATGAAACAAGACGTTCAGAGTAGCCTATTTCTAGGACAGAGATATCACAAATATTATCTGTGTTCAAACACGAACGCAAAAAGCTAGGAAAATAAAAATTGTCAGGATCTGTTCATACTTAGTTTTTATGAGTTTAGAAAACAAAGGAAAACCCGAACCATTGTAGTGGAACACTTCTACGAAGAAAACACGATTGGTGAAAAATAAACATTTATTATTGTACTCGTTTTGTTTAACTTCACCAAAAACACTTACTTGCGCGCAACCTTTTCCGCATTGCTTCCATCTTTCATAACTTACTGCTCGATGTAACGCCTACTTTCTCCTTCAAATAAATATTCAACCCTGGATTTATTTTTATAATTTGTGACAGGATAATAATGAATATTTAATAGTGATCATTGTCAATATCGACTTGGTCACCACTAAACCATGAAAACGAATTAACTAGTAATGAAAAATTTAAGATATGAATTCGTCATTTATCCTGTCAAAAATTATTACTTAACACAAAACAATATTATTACTGTGAAGAGAAATAATAACCACAAATTTATATGGATGAATAGAAATCAATATATAAATACATTGCCTGTTAGATCTATTTTAAACAAATGTAATCACATCTAGGTTTGTTTATTTTAAAGTGTAAGACTATGAGAAAAAATTTAAATGCAAACTCAGTATAAAAAAGAACTAATTATTTTGAAGAAAGAAGAGTATAAAACCAGTCTGCGTCAATCGGGATTTCTTCGAAACTGGTTTTCCTGAACAGTACAAGTACAATTATGAATGAAGTAACGATAAAAGTCAATTACATTTATTAGTCTTCTGTGTTTTACTAAAGTCAATAGTTGTCTTTAATAGCTTCTAATTTTGATTGAAAAGTTATTTATAAAGCTAGCTAGAAAATAAATTAGCACTAATTTCTGAAGTTTGTGCTGATGATGTTGTTCAGAAGAACAATGAAAGCTCCACAACCAAAACAACCAGCTCAGAGAACGAAACACCACCACATAGCATTAATATCAATTTATAATTAAGCAATCCTTCAATCAGTAATCTCAGTTGTTTGAGATAGCCTGCTTTTGAAAGAATCACAATTGATAGTTGATCAGTTTACTCACATGCTAGTGTGTCAGCGAATGATGTAATTGAACATAAACACTATTTGTCATATTTTTGTTCTATGATTGGGCAATCTTAACGGTAGATTTGAACAATAGACATAGCAGAAACGTTTGCATAACATCGTCTAGTTTGTATAGGATTCCGCAAAATTCGAAGATACCGAAAAGTGTTCTAACTTATGTAACTTTTACTATGTGTTTTGGTTGACCTAAATGAATCTGGGATTACTAAATTATGTGTAATAACGATTCAGTCCCCACTGTCCATTAGTTAATGATGTAAGTAACATTACTGCTGTAAGTCATTCGAAGTAGAATTACAGAATTTTAAAAAGTTACAAATCTACACTCACACGTTTGCTGCATAAACAGAAGCAAATTTCAGACGCTCATATACACCATACATTACCGAACCACATCATATAATAGATAAAAATTCTAAGTTTCTACACAAACAGGACAAAAGTGAAAGAGAACAAAGCAAGCAGTCAGTGATTTGCAACAATATAGAAATGGTTAAACGCATAGTAATAATCAATGGATCCAACGGGAACTTACTATAAGATGAGTTGATCATCAGTTATCCGCAAAATAGTGCACACATTACGCCGAGAAATAGAGAAAGATATGAGAGGAATGAACAAACATTCGACAGAACTGGAGAGGGAAGCCCAGGACAGAGTTGGTTGGAGGAAACTGGTGGGCGGCCTATGCTCCATTGGGGGTAACAGGCGTAAGTAAGTAAGTAAGCAAAATAGTGCCACTTATTAACTCTTACTCGATATTCATTCAGTTTCAGCAGTACAGATCATCCTTACATTGACTTTCAGCTAATAAACTTAATGTCTGTGGTAATCGTATACGGAGGAGCCATGTCAATTAGTGACAGATCTGTCAATGAAGTAGATGAATATCTTTATTTAGATGTGGCTCATAGTTTACCACCACAGAATCAGTATTCGATGCGAGTTGGTTATCCACCAGGCCGAGTTGGAACAGAACAAAACACTATCATTATACCACCAGAAAGTCGTGAGAGAAGCAAATTACACGAATTGTATGCATACAGAAATGAATACGAACAATACTTTGACACTGGTCAAATGAGAATACAAGATTTTCATTTTAAATTTTATCAAACTCTGGTCAAACTTCATAAATTACAATTAAAAACTAATGAAGTAAACAAATTGTTTTATGAATATTTAATCCCTGATCTATCGAATGCAAGGATGCAATTTATAATGTATTATTGTAGAGCTCTGTTAGACTTTACTAAGTATTCAATTGGTGACGAATATGCTAATACCACAAGAAGTAGTTCTGATTCAGATGAAAGTTTTTCACTAAATGTGCAATACGATATACATCAGTTTTGTCCTAAAGCATGTGCCTATCGTGGAGGTTCAGGATTTAGTGTCAAGCATAAAAATGAATTGAATCGTTATTCTAGCTTGTGCAGTTTCCCAGAACATTTTATGCCAATTAAATCACAAAGATGCATTGAACAAAATAATGGTAAGTTATAGTCAGGTATGAAACTATGTGTAGTTTTTTCCATTTCAATATGATCGACGTAGAAAAAAAAACATTAAAGCTAATGTGAAATTTAGAGCATGATTTTTATCTGATATGATAGATTGCGTCAACTGGAAAATGGAGGCAATATTTCAAAGGAATATTTTATGCCATACAAATGGAAATAAATATTCAAACCACTAATCTTTAAAGTGTAAAAACTATGTAGAATGGTACTAGTCAAAAGCAATAAAAACTATCCTTTCTAATCAAAACCTCATAAAAAAGTACAACAATAGCAAATTTTACTTCTACCAAGTAAAAATTTATCTCTTTGAGTTATTACTTAATAAATTTAATCCATTATCAGTATGGCGTTGTGGTGATTGTTTAGTTTCATTGAACTCATGAGCTGATCAGTGTTAAATCATTATTCTCTCGTATCTATAAACATCCTTATTTAAACAACTGTAACATATAATTTATGCTATCATATTTATCAGTATCATAAAGATAACGATGAAATCTGAATCGAAATTCATGTGTAAGAAGTATTTTCTTCAGGCCTTTCATTTTCAGTGAGGCATCTGACAAATTTATTTCTTCTACCGTCAAGATATTCGGTTGAAAATACAAAAATTAACGGAGCATTTCATCCATAAAATCTTTATTTTGGGGCAGAGTTGATGAGTCCCATACCAGGACGAAACGGCCGTCCAGTGCTTCCAGGTTTCTAATGGTGGTCTAACAATGATTGATTGATGATTTCAAATGTGTGATAACTCTTTAAAACAAAAAAACATTCAAATTTCATAAGTAAGAAAATTCTACAGATATGTTTTGACAAAATCAAATACTTTTTCTATTTGAAGTTCACTTGTCATATATATACCAAAATAAAACTAAATTTAACTTCATAGAAACGAACCTAGTAATACCATGGATTTGTTTTTACTATTATTATACTGAATGAACGAAAAGATATATTATTGCAAAATGGATCTATCTTACGTAAAAAATTTAACTCTTAGTGATCACTAGCTGATTCATGCTTCCATCATAGTTTGTAACAAAATAACAATGAAAGATTTACATAATAAACCAAAATATATCTCAAAAAATCATCTAGTATTCTCAATGAATAACTAAAGTACCATTCAAAACCTTTAAACTTTGTGGATGGTGTTAATTCAAGCAATCTTTTTATATATTACAATTTATATTAGTTGCACTGGTAAATCTTCAGAGCTTCAAGTGTGAATGTTCAAATGGTTTTATATGGAAAGAACAAGTGAAAGCATGTTATTTACCGTATGGTTGGCGTCAAAAAGGTGAGAGGTCAATGAGAATGGTTAATGCAAGCAGAAGTGATCATTTCACATACTATGCATATAATAATTGTTCACGTATTGGAACAAAATTTATTCAACCCATAGAAATCAATTCCAGAATTTCAAATCATCCAAATCATGATAGATTATATCATACAGAAAGTTGTTTTTGCAAAGATGAATTCTATGGAACAACATGTGATCAAGTATATATATTCCAAATTATTGATTTTTTAAAGTTATCATATTTACATTTATATGCATAGTTGAAACAATAAAAATAATAACAAAAGACTAAGATTACATGCGCTGCGATAATAATTTTGTTTACTTCGACTTCAATATCATAGACGAAACTGCTTCTTTTTCAGCTGATTAGCTCGCACAAAAAAAACACCAGTTTCATAGATGAAGCTTTTTATTGTTGATCCAGTGTAATATTGAAACTGAGTATTCGTTATTCAATCAAAATATCCTAAAAGTGTATTGAAATTCCATGAATACTGAGTGTTCTCACTGAATAATTTACTACAACAAAATTTCAACTTCATCGATATTGATTTGCTTTCTATAAGTTTTAATTTGAGATTGTGCATCTCCAACAAAACCTTTAAAGTTCATGATGTTTATTGACATAAAAGACTTCTAGTTCATGTCCATGTTAATGATCACTGGATCATTGGACTTTGAACAAATAATATGGGCAATAAACGCATCTATATACTCTGACTTCGCAGTAATAAAGTCAATGAAACATGTATTAAAAATTCTTCACCTATGACGAGTTTTGAGTAGTCTTGCGTTTGATTACAATGCAAATTTTCTAGAATTAATCTCTTATTAATTGAAATTAATCATAGTGTTCAATACTATTAATTATTATGCATTCTTCATCAATGTATGTATGCATGTTTGTAGCTGAAATAGATTTTATCTAACTTGAATGAATTTAAGAATAGATCATATATGGGAAACTGTTGAATTTACCCATTGTTGAAAGCATCATGTTTGTTTGATGAGGAGACAGTAAATAGACAATTAATTATCTTTCATACTGGAAATTAGATAAAAGATATCAGAAAGTTATTTTGACGTATATTTTAAGGTTGTTGGTGTTCAACATTAAAACATATCTCAAGACCCGAAAATCTGTTTAATTATCTCAAAGATCATTGTCAAAATATTTAACAAGTTTTACTTGAACATCCACTGATTCGTCTGAATTATTGTGAACGCGTTCTGTGCATCTCATGAAACATGGGATTCGATTGGCGATGTCAGTCAAATAAGAGTTTCATATTTGTTTGTTCAACGCCTCAAAAATATCATATGTTCAGTTTCAATTCGTAAAATAATTTTATCAACGTTTTTCAAGCTCACGTGATAAGAAGTTTCTGACAAAACTTTTACAAATCTCAGGTTCAAACGGGACTGGTACTAATAATCTCTGAACATGGAGCCTAGTCAGTTGAAAATGTCAATCACTAATTCGATCTCAGTAACCACCTGATTATCATTAATAATCAAGTCACTGACAATCTTTAAAATTTATCCTAAATATGGCCGTTGATTATAATTTCGAGAAGTATTTTAATTCTTTGTTCTTCTATTTTCATGTACATAGCGAAAAGATCCATGTAAGATGCAAATCGGAAATGTAATCATGGGTGATATTGCTTGTCGAACAACAGATGGAAATAAGTGTATTCCACATAAAGAATTCGGTACTTATACATGTCAATGTATAACAGGCTTTAGCAAATTCATCAATTCATCTCTGTTACCCAGACAACGGGTATCAGATAATTGTTTGGTTCATGTTGATCCATGTATAGTCAAACCATGTAAGCATGGAGTTTGTGTTATGGTGAGTTATATATATATATATATATATTTAGTGGATAGAATGAATCAGTAATAGAACAAGACTCTTCATGTTACACAAAGTCAGACTATTGGTTGATAAGGCTGCGAATCGTAACTAGTTTAAGGAATCTGGTGTGATGTTTGTGTACAACAATAATTCCTTTGCACAGTATTGTGCTTCTGATTCAATTGTGCTCTCAGACATTTTTTCTGAATTGGGTGCTGGCCCCTACATGACTACTAGAGTATGAATAAGAGATCCATGGGTACTAGTTATTAGTATGCAGAATACCGAATTCTGATAATCGTACTTCGACATGTCATCCATCCTGAGAGAAAATGCTGCTTAAGATATGACGAGACAAACTAAGGAAGTTCATGAATTGTGGGAGTTAACAACAAATTGAATGAGACTCTCAAGATAATCGTAGTCTATGGCTGGAAATGGTCAGAATTTGTTGAAATAGCTCAAATGAATTTATTGATTATCTTTCATATCTTAATGCTTAACATCAGTTAAAACTTTTTATTCTTTATGTTAAATGTAACAATGAGATTAAGGCTGCTCAACATCATTAGAATCACAGATTTTGGCTGCCGCGAATATCTTAACTATAAAATCTACACCTATCAATACGGCTCAGATGAACGAAGTTTTGGCTAGTGGAAATAAAATATACTGAAAATATGATTGTGATGATAGCGAAAATAAAATCATGAGATTTTACTAAAATCTTCATTTTAACAGTCTATATTTCAGATATAGGGAATTTTCTAAGTTGAGACAAGGCAGCTGTTTAAATACAAGTGCCACGGTTATCGTTAATTCAGATTTGTGTAATAAGTTGGAATTCATGTTAAATTTTTTATTTGTCAGAGTCAATATGGAAATAAACCACATCTAACTGCCCGTTGCATATGTGACTACGGTTGGAAAGGAGATCAATGTGATTCTCCTGCATCAATAAATGTTTGGTCATCTTGGTCAAATTGGTCCTTTTGTGAATCATCATGTCATTTATCATTTGAACAGGTACAGTCAAATTACTCCTTTGAAAACAAGGGATACAGTATGATCTCGGATAATAAGGGAATTAGGCAAATCAGTCGGTACAGAGATTGTTTGAGTAAGGCATCCGACTGTGAGCAAGAAATAAAACATAATTCTATCTACCAAGGTGTGATTATAGAGAATGAGGGGATATGGCGACAGTATGAATACCAGGCATGTAGATGGCAACCATGTGATCAGAGTGGATACTTAACCTCAGGAATCAAAACACCTCAAATATGTCCTCTTTCTGGACACTTAGTAAGTAAAACTGTTTAATAATCTTTTTTCCTTAATATATTGTTCAATGTTTACGTAACTTATTGTGTGTTGTAACATTTGGATAAAGGAAATTTTGCTTAGATATCGAAACTTAACCCTTCTGTGGAATGAACGGGTTGTCGTCTATAAACGTGAAAATTCAAATAATGTTAAATAATGACTGATTTATGAAACTTTCTGATGCTGCATCTACTGTAGGTTGTCTGAAAAGTAAAGTATTACTGGGAGCATCTCTTAGTTGTCATTGTTGTGCAGTTAAAGCAATTGTTTTCTCTAATGAAAACCGCTATTAAGTATCATGTATGTATTATACACTCTTGAAATACATTGACTCAGTCAAGAAATTCTTCCCATTAATAATCATTTATTTAGTGGTGTTTTGCTGCATTAATCCCTAGTAATTGAATGAAACACTTATTGTATTATATAAATTCACCTACAATGGCAAGGGTAATTAGACATTGGTTTTCATAAGAACCAGACACTGCACACGTGTTTACACTACAACGTAAACAATACAGATCAGTTGTGTGGCACAACCACACAGGTACCTGACATCAATACATATAGTGATAATTTCCTATCCATGATCGCGTTAGTCAATATCCACAGCATGAACAGACCAATTTGACCCATCTCGCTTATTTGACTGTCAAACTCATTATTATTAGCAATGGTGATAAAAAAAAGTACAGCACCCCAATGACAATAGCCCTTGCCCCACAAAGTTCACAACGAACCTCTGGTCTCATAGGAAATCTTCAGTTCTACGTAGCAGTATAGCTTACGGTATATACATCGTATGGCATAGCATAGCAAAAGATGTAGCACACTTGACGAAAATGGGTAGGAACACTCATATTACTCTTTGTTTCATGTCATGTAATGATTTTTTCGCAATAGTGAAACTTCCGTTTTTTGACTATATGAGACCTGAGTTGGGGGTAGTAACTCCCAATGAAATACTAGTGACAAATAAAGCTGTGCTGATGGAGTAGTTATCATCTTTACTCATAAATGTGCGATTGAAATTTCGTTTATTTTTATTCTGGAGTTTATGATGAGCGAAATCAGTTAAGGAATTATCAAACTATAAAGTATATGCTGTTGATATTATGGACCTATCCGAATTAGTGTTTGACTGTAAATGGAAAAAATCCATGATGAATATATTTCAGCTCATGAATCAAATAAAATTACTTCATAGAACTTAGTATGCGTTTAAAGTTTGTAGGTAAGCAGTTATACAGATATCAATGTTCTCAGTGGTTATCTGAGATCAAGGAATCTCTGAGGAACGTTAACTTCTCTAGTCTAACAGTTTAATTTAAACAATATCGCTTGTGGCAGTAAATATTTATTTGTTGGTGTCCGTAGTTAATGAACAGAGTAACATAGGACCATACCCCAGAAACACCTTGGGATCTCTGAATGTTGGAGATACATCTTACTTACGAGATCAAATTCACAATAAGCCAAAACCAAGATAAGTTTTTGGTCAAGGGAGAACATCCTCAGTCCTTATAGTTGGCCGAAATTTTCATTACAGTCAAAATTATTGCACAAATGGTAGAATATGTAAAACTAACAAACATTCAACTCCTTATTTAACACTAAATATCTATCATCTTAATCAAGGTGTAAACATCGTCAGGACTTTAAAACACCATGAAAGTAATATTGCTCATAAATCAACGTTTATGCTGGTTAAAAGACACAATAACACGAAAAGATAAATTATGGTTTCTATATGTGATGGTAGATTTCATGTACATTATTCTACGCTTGTTTTCGAATTCCAAATACAATATTTTCAGTTATGCTCAACGGATTTCATCGGACTTGAAGTAAATTCTAGGAATTCCCAGTTGGCATAACAATTTCACTTTCTAATTATCACACAAATCCAGTATCATAGCTTCGAGAAACACTACATTGTACAAAGTGAACACTTTCTTCACTGACGCATATATAAATTAAAACTGCCAAAGGAATGATGCGCTATTACTGATAATGATGTATGTAAATAATTGCAAACTAGGAAATTCAACTAGGAAAATACTAATATTCTAGACCAGCCAAGTATTAAGGATACTTTAGAATGTCTCGAAATGTGACATTCAGATCACTCAGCAATCAATAGATACATTGAATTCAATTCCATCTTGCAAAATACATAATATTGTACAATGAAGTAAAACACTTAATTTACAACGTTGATAATCATATTTGTGTTTAGTTTCCATCGTTCTTTCACTGTAAATAAACTTAACTGGAACAATCATCTGAACAGTCAAGATTTAATTTGGAAGTGTCAAACTTTTGTACCTACCTACTTTCTGTAAAATTTCAATACTTGATGTGATTAAGTTCTCAATATCCTTTAGATAAATAAACAGAAAAAATAAACCGGAAACAGTGAATATTCAGTTCCAATGATTGTATTAGGCATAATACAAAAGGCAATCAAATAAGATTAGTGAAAATTTAAAATATTGAACTTTTTCTTCAGATGAGATCTAGTAACTAGTCATATGATTGTTGATAGTGTCTCGAGTAAAAATTCGTAAATGCCAAGTTTTTGTAGAATTCACTCAAAAGTTTTACTTGATATACTTTAATAAATTCAACATACAGTTTGTGATTAATGCACTTTTAAATTCTGTTGACTAATATAGATAATGTGTAATTCTATCTTGTATTTTAATTGGTTAACTCATTATGAATCATTTTTTATATCTGTTTTAGAATGAAATTATATATCAACCTGAAACCACATTACTTTTGACCGTGTTGACATTTTTAATTATTTTAATTATATTGAAACTTGTAATCATGAGCCTATTGCATTGAATATACAGTCAAAATACCGTGATATTTCACATACATTTATACATTATCATTAAAATATCTGTGAACTAACATATGACAAAGAAAATATTCGTTTAAAAACCGATATAATATTTTTGTCATAAATAAAATGCCTCGTCTGCTAAATTTTGATATATTACATTATTTCTAGTTTTAAATAATTTGAAACTAAATACAGTGAAAATTAGCACTTGGTCTTGATAGTTTCTGATATTTGTTTCTAAACCTTGAGACGGAAAACTTGGTTAGACAGGAATTTCCAATCCTAGTCATTTTCAAGAGAATAAAATGTGTTGTAGTGAAATTTATATGAAGCCCAAATAAACGGAATAACATATATTCGTTCACGAAACGTTAAGTAAATTAGGGAGTTACAGTGATGAGTCAAAGCCCCCAATTTCGAGGCAACTTTGTCTGAATAGCCATGCATGGAGTTCTCTAGGGTAACCAGTGGTCACGGATCCGAGTAAAGGAGGGTTTCGCTTAGACTTGCAACCCCATCCTGTAAAAAAGAATCCTACTAAAGAACTCTAGTCAGAGCAAACTAATTAATTTATTTTAACTCTAACCATTGGGTTAAAGCGTCTTCATGTATAAACGTTCTGATGCTTCAAAAAGTAAGACGAAATTCTTCGAAATCCAGGACAATGTCTTTCTGAAAACCAGAGAAACAATTAATACTGATGCGTAGAATATGATATCTGAATGATCAGACTATCAAATGCAATCATTCAAATTTGTTGATGATAGTATATATTTCTCACACAAGTTATACACCACTCTTACAAGCATGATCAACAATTTACAACAAGGGCTTGTAGATATACGATACGACCAGAGTGGGATTACTTAATAGATAAAGTATGTCAAAATATAATATAAGGATGGATTTATGAGCTTGTACTGTATGATGAGTTCGCAATTTTTCAAAACCAATGGAAAATGGCATCACGTGCAAATCGTGACCTTGCCAAACGCGCAAATTTCACATTCGTGGTGCTGAAAAAAATACAGTGAAAGTAATAATGAGTTGTTAGTAAAACGTAGTTGAGTGCAATAGATGAGATCAAGGTGTTAGTTAATGAGTGTAACTCAAAATACTTATTGACTTCAAGATTAAACTATCAGCGAAAGAAATTCTCGAATAGGAGGGATATGCAGAGTGTGATGAATTGTAACAGGGAAACAGGTCTTCGTTGATGAAGGATAGGCTGTAGAGAGTACAGTGTTGGTGTTATATAGTTTTGAAAATTAACGGAGAGGCAATGCAACGCACTAGCTTTTCTTTTGGTTGACCTTTTCTATCCTTTTGATGGAAGTCCAGACATTAAGTGTCTCAAATGGGATGTAATAGTGTTACTTCGTAGAATTACGAAAACCAACACAGGACATAAAACATGATTGTAGTATGAAGCAAACAGGGGATAACAACCGAGCGCACCTGCTACCTTGAACGTGGTGGTCCGGCGTGTCTATCGTGATGACCCAAACAAACTATATTCGCTAAAACATGTTCCTTTCAGTTAAACCATGCCACGCACGTTCACTGGAGAACGATAAGACTAAAAGCACCAACTCAACGTCTGAGGGTGAAGTCGTACTGCTGACTGTAGAGGGGTGTGACAACTGTAAAGTGTTTCCCTCAGACAACCAGCATCTGCAGCGATGCTGCGCTCTCACATTAGAAGGCCGTGTGTTTTACCGACCTCATGCAGTTATCGATTGAACTCTGTAGTCACGCTCCCAGGTTGCTAAGACCAACGCCAATCTAACCGCACTTTCACGGTCCTCAAGAAACACCCTTCCATGGTGTGGACGACCCGGAAGAAGTCACATCCGTCGTCACAGTCGTAAAAACACACGAGATCAACTTCCTTACAATCAAATCCTTCCAAAACCTCTTACTAACCTTCTTACCTCCACGACTAACCCTTCTCCTATACCGTGATCACCTCGTGTCGCTGATGCGAACGTTTCGAGTACACGAAACATATTTCCTGGTCACCTGAAACTACGCCCTAAACCACATGTTGAAGCTTTTAGTATTCTGACCTTGTGTCAAATAAAACAACAGGACTCGCGTGTCGTTAATGTATGCTGCGTCTCCGAAATGTGCATAAAAGAGCAGAGATCTGATAATTTCATTCCATTACTATATAGATACATATGAACGGTTTAGACTCATTTCAATACAATGCAGACTAGATCGTCCAAGTCCTGAATTCATTTTTCTGAAATAAGATTACTGGTATCATTATAATATTAATTCAATTATAAAGAGGTTTATATTTGATGTTATTCCAGTCCAGGCATGTCCATACAGTTCTATCGATAGCAGCTGCGGTTGATAATCGGGAACTATCTGTTACGCCTGCACGTAAACACGTTATTTTGATGAAATTGAACTGTTACGAGTTTACCTAGTCGGAAAACGAGAGCGAGGATCCGGCGACACGACATACTACTCAAATCCGACTATCCCAGCCCCCCAAATTGAGTAAACATAAGACAAGACTTGATATGAAGTAGAACTTGCATTCTACAAGCATCCGGAAAGTACGAGGTCCGAATCCAGAAGAGAATCAGGATCCCGGACCGGGTCCTGGTCGTGCTCATAAAACGTTACACATAATGCGAATTTTTACATTTTGGTCGAATAGGAAACAGCATCGAAGTGTGTGACATTGACAGTTAATACGACCAATAGCAAGCAACATTTGAAGTGACATTGATAATCAGGACAACCAATAAGAAACAACATTGGAGCACGTCACATTGATATCTGGGACGACCATAAAATTGACCAGTAGGAATTAACCAATAGGAATTGACCAATAATTCTCTTAGGATATTGGATGAATATCCTAACCATTTGCACGAAAAGACTCGATAATTCTGATGAAGGGACTAAACTAAGGTTGTTGTGACCTCCATTGAGTACGAAGACAATAGGGTGAAATGAACTGGGAGAAATGGATGAGAATGATAAGGAACTTGCAAATCTATTTGCTTTCAACCGCTTGGTTTTAGAATAAACCATATATCGTTGCGAGCGAGTTTTACAAGAAACGAAGCCAAAGAGGCACTAGGCAGTTGAACGGTTAAAAGCAGGAAAGCATAACACGGCTTTACGTATTCAAGGAGATCGGGATGTATCTTAACAACAACTGTGGAACTTTATGAAACCAACTGGATGGAGAAAATACTATGCAAAACGCATGCAAAGAAATTGAAGGAGTAATACGTTTAACACTTCGAGTTATTTGACAGTGAGTAGCACTAGCATAAAGAATGGAGAGGATCTAAGGAAGGAAAAGCACGAAAACTTCATTCAACAGCAGAGAAATCCAAAATGTACTGAGATTTCTGGAGTAAGCAAATGAGTAGAGAGGAGCTTTAGGACTCACACGTGTAAGTAAGTAGAGACCTCGCAACCACGGCAGAAGCTGAAAATGAAGCAATATAAGAGAAAATTATGAAACAACCGAGAAGCTGGGAAATATCGTAAGCCATGTGTGGACAACTGATATTAAACACCTACACCTTGTAGATGATGGTTATTGCGGTTCTCCATGGTAGCTTCATCTCCATTGAGTATATCGTGGACGGCTAAAGTGTATCTATTCTTCGTCTTCTCTCAAATTCTAAAGTTCAGAATTCGCCATGACTTTTTTAAACTGATTCTATTGGGATATATTTATTATATCATACCTTCGCTCCCTAATCGTTTTTATGACTGCTAATACTTCTACTACCTCTACTATTATGGGTTTTGAATAAACAAATCGATCTCTCTATGCTAACGTGGTATGAAATCTTGAACTAATGTTCGTACGTACCAGCTTCTTCGTTGTAGCTGACCGACTGACAAATATCGTCAAACTCCTGCAATTTCTTGCTAACAGCTATCTTGAATTCGATGAGTTTATCAGTACATCAACGAACGGCAGTATCAAACTTTCGTGATCCTGTTCGACCAGTTAAACAGTGCTCCTTCAGCTTCATCTCGGCCTCCGTCAAGTGGTAATTCGAGGCTCTGACAGCTAATGTCTTTGTTTTGACGTTCTTCATGTTCCTTCAGAACCTGTAATTGATGCAGATGTGTTCGATTTTGTATTCCATAGTGTAATCCGGTGAAAAGTATGTATTGTGTAGGAATCTGGTGCCACCAATAATCACTTTGTTGAAGGCAGATCGATTCGCGAATCTCTGTTTTCGTTGCTTTCTCTCAGTTCCTGTTGTCCGATGATGTCTTGACATCCAATGTTATCAATTTCAACCTTAGCGTCTAAGTCTCTCATCAGAATGGTCAAGTTCTTTGTTGTCGTTGGTAGGCGCGTAGCACTGGATGATGTTCATTGTAATATCCTCTTTCTTTGTTTTGATGATCCTAGATCCATGAAATTCTTTGAACAGCATCAGTGCGACTCCTCGTGTATGAAGGCTTACCTTTCTTTAGGACCGGAATACAACGGCACTTCTGCTGAAGCTAATCTTTTCTGTCTAGCCTGCGTCAAATGTATTTTACTGATTCCAAGCACCACCAGGTTGTATCGCTGAACTATTTTTTATGGTAAGCGTATTTTTATGAGGTTTGTTCTCCACGGGATGGAATCGCCAACCTCAAGTCTAACCCTCCTCTATCCGAGTTTAGGTTTGACAGTAACCCTAGAAGGGATCCAGCTGCTTTAAAATATGTAATTCCCAACACCTCCCCGGAACCTACTTCACGTCCGAGACGCCCTATACCATATGCTGTTCATGAGCCCCAACAAAACTTATCGGTGGGGAAGCAGCCCAATCGACGGTTGTTTAAAGATATGGTTCCTACAAAGCAGGCGGCTCGTAAGAGTACGGGTGGCAAGGCACCCAGGAAGTAGTTGGACCCTAGCACCAGATCCTACGAATCTTCTGAAAGGGGAGGTGTTAGTGGGACATAGATGGAATTAAAGCACGACTACGTTGCTGCGCGCTGATTGGCTAATTTCCCATCCAGTCAGCGCCTGATCGAAGCTTGGAGAACAGGATAGAAAATTCTCGTACTGTTAGCTACATGCTGATTGGCTCAATCTAATCCAGCCGATCACGTGAATTTTCTTCCAGAAGCTTTCTCATGTAAAGGCCATAAATAGACTAGCGTTGTATTTATTCTTTGCCTCGGCTTTCGCCATCACCTTTGGCTTCTTATTCCTTGCTATTTTGGAATATAATCTTTCCTGTTCAACCGTGTTTTGACTTGGGGGACTTGTTCAGTGTTTTGTGTCAAGAATGCTAAGCAATAAGATTTAGCCGGGAATTATCTTAAGCAAGCGTTACAACAGTAATTTTTAGTGCTCGGAAAAATGATCACCCTGATATAAAATAAAGCTTAACAATATAAACAGTTTTTAGTATTGTCTTTGTAATTTTCATAGAAAATTTAACACCTAAGATGTGGTCACACTTTAACAGCATATTCAGTGTTATCTAAAAAGATATTAAAACTACAGAAAGAAATATGGGTAGTGATATGCTGTCGAAGATTGAAAAGTTTATTTTACACTTTAATAAAGATCAAATAGATAAATGTATGAATAGAAAGCAATAAATTACACAAAACATTCTTTGATTCAGTTCTTTTCAACTAGTTTTCCGACTAAATCCGTCGTTCGAGAGGCAAGCCCTCGAATATCATCTAAGAGACCTGCTTGCGCCATAGCTGTGTCGTACAAATGATCCAAGAAAGAAACCGCTAAAGAATAATCTTCGTTTTGTTCAGAACCTTTGGAGGAATGAATTAAATTATACAGATATCGAACTAATTTATGTTCTGGATTAAGTTCTAGTGTTGGTCCAATAGCATGATATCTTTCTTCAGAAGTTCTGTCAGCCAAAGAAGTTCGCAAAAAGTGTCTCATTGCTCCAGCTTCACGAACAGAAACAAAGCATGGATGAGTACTCAACCTTTGTGTAACCTGAATAATTAAAAAAGGGAATATATCAGTCAGAGAATAAAATAAATACTTTAGACAAATGACATTAGACAGTATGACTAGACTTTTCCGCAAACCAATGATGATCTAAAATCATAGGGTCTTTTAGAGACAGTCAGCCAGTTACAACGTAAAACTTTGTACGTAGGTACATCATTGCAGGTTGCCATACTACATAAACGCAGAGATGCAACTGTCAAAGACAGTGAACTGTTAGATGAGTGAATAAGATACACTATATGACTAGGAAACTTTGTACTAGAGCTTAACAATATTAATAAAAATCTACCTCAACTGCAAAAAAATCTCAGATACAGTAAACTTGATAAAAATAGACGTATTCATTATCGTAAAAGATTTCGGAAATGGAAGTTATTTATAAGCACGTTTTTTAAACTTCATTATTTTTATAAATACTGGCTTCGTTACTGTTATGGCATAGAATTATCTGCCACTAGTCTGCATTTAACATGTAAAGATAAGGAGAGAGAGAGTTGTTTCAAACTACATTACGGTCTTGATAAGCTAGGTTACTCAGTACAATTGTGGAACTCGTAACACATTAATCCAACTTGTGACTGGAAGAGGGACAAAAATCAATATGACATTAAAAACTGTCTGTGATGTTTTGATCGTTTACCTAAATAAATTTTTCAATTTGAAAGGTACACATGAAGGATTTATCTGTAGCCTATTAATTCAAATAAAGTTTTACCAAGAATATTACTTATGGAATGCAAATAACGAGAAAACTACAAATTACTTAAATAAAGCCAAAACAACAAGTGAGGCAGAATAATATGAATTCATTATATTTCATGGTTGCTCATCAGTTGCTGGCTTATCACCATATGTGTAATAATGTGTAACAATGAATTATGATAAAAATTAAAACAACATACATTGATAATGGAAGAGATTAAATATCTTTGTATATTGCTTTATATCATTTCATAATATTTATTGTCACACTTTATAAGCAACTGATGAGAAACTATAAAATGTAATGGATTCATATTATTCTGCCTCACATTGTTCTAGCCGTATTTAAATTCATCAAAGCAACAGACTACAACAAATGACTTAATTTATCCAAATGATCATCCTCATCATTGCTTACCTTCACTTTCTTGACTTTTGGACCAAGTGTCTTTTCCGCCCATTCAACCAACTTCGACGCCTCATCCGGTTTTAAGCAATTTTGGCGTTCAGATCCAACTGAATCAGTATCTGACATATCGTCGGCAATCATACTTTCAATTGACGTTAACGCTTTTTTGTCGTATTGACTTAATTGCATAAGAACAAGTTCATCGTACGGTTCGTACAAAAACAACACCTGTGATTAAAAATGAACAATTTAGGTATTATTATTCTTATTAATGGACAACACAAGTGTAGGACATAAGCAATTTAATAGATTTTACTTAGATCAAAATTAACCACACTAGGTATTACAATATTTTGAAGAGGTTATCAACTACAGCATAGAAATTCGATGAAACAACACGAAGTAATTGATAAAACTAATTCACACTGGCACGGTTGAGAGTGTGAAGATTCCCTTCTTCCACTTCGAACACTTTCAAATGTACACGCAGATACAGTCACTGCCAGGTGATGTTTACGAACTTAAAAGAATAAAACGCGAATGTCCAACACTTTATTCTGGTTTGCGGGTACGCAGATCCTAGCTACATGAGTTGAAAAGCCCTAATTAAAAGCAATAATGTACATGGGCAACAGGATCCTACTGAAAATACTGACACTGTTGGTTACTAACTAGCAAGTAACCAATCTCCTGATATCGCTTTACTGCTTTTTGGATAAGATCGAATCTAAAGTTCGCGGAGCTGCATCAAAAGACAACTAAATTCTTCAAACAGGACACAGACATACTATCCCTTAAAAGTACAAATTCAATTACTGTTGCAGTGCATAAATATTTTGACCGTACCTGCTAAACTGCCATGGTGGTCATGCGTGCCTATAGTGATGATCCAAAGTAACTATATTGGCTAGGACATATTTCTTTCAATTCCCGACCGTAAATGCTACCTTGACATGGTGATCGGGGTGGCATATCGTGATGACCCACTAAGGGCTTTTGAGAGCGGAGCTAATACTCAAAAATCCTTTCATAAAAAGGCCGTGTGTGACCGGCCTCAAGCATTTGTCCTTGGGCTCTGTAGACACGCTCCCAGGTCTCTAAGACCAACGCTGATCTACCTTCCTTTTCAGGTTCCTCAAGAAACACCCTTCCACGGTGCGTGCAGCCGGGAAGTGACAACTGCCCTCGTACACATAAAAGCACACGAGACCAAATTGGTCACAATCGAATCCATTCTACACCTCTTAATAAATCTCTTATCTCCTCGACCAACCATTCTTTCGATCGCTTACCACCTCACACCACTAAAGCGAACGGTAGGAGCTCGTGAAATATTATTCCAGTAACAACGGTAGGAACTCGTTAGGTGTCAACTACCTGGTTGGGGTCCGCGGGATGATAATAATCGGTGCTTAGAGACCCTGAGTGACATGGCTCAAAACCATTTGCAATTATCCATAGACGCATAACTAGAGCTCGTGAAGAGCAGACTAGAGAAAACCAAGCTGGTTTCATACCCGGACGTGGTTGAATAGATCACATCTTCACACTACGACAGAACCTAGAACAAAGAACCACGTTTAGACGCCACAAAAGAGTAGTATTTCTCGACCTTAAAGCAGCATTTGACTCTGTGGTTCGTGAGGTTCTGTGGCAGTAACTGTCATTGAAAGGTAAACCAAAGAAGTACAATAACCTTATACAAGCTCTCTACTCGAACAATAAAGGTCGAGTTACAGCCTATGGCATCGGAATTCTTTACTTCAAGTGATATCCGTCAGGGATGTCCACTATCTCCATTCTTGTTTCATTTTATCATAGACATGCTCCTAGATATAAACTCATATTCGTCTGAATTTTCAGGAGCGAACCGTCTACCAGGAAAATCGCTTGTTGACTTGGAATATGACGATGACATAGTTCTATTCGGCGAAGATGCTGACAAAATGCAGAATCTTCTGACCACCCTAACCAACAATGCAACCATGTTCGGGAGGTGGTTTTATCCTTAGAAATGCAAAATGTTGCTTCAAGATTGGGTTGCATCGGCACCTGAACTAGTGATAGGGAGTGAAGTAGTCGAGCGTGTTGACCACTTCACTTATCTGGGGAGTTTCATCAGTGCCGATGACCGGGTGACTGACGAAATCTCAGCACGGATACAAAAAGCTCGATTGGCTTTTGCCGAATTGCGTCACTTATGGCGTAGACGAGATATCCGTTTGCTGACTAAAGGACTAGTGTACTGCGCAGTAGTTCGCTCAGCCATACTTTATGGCTGTGAAACATGGCCAGTGAGAGTAGAAGATATTCGTAGGTTACTGGTTTTCGATCATATGTGTCTTCGAAGCATTGCTCGAGTATCGTGGGACAGTCGAGTAGGCAATGCTGTCGTTAGGAATCGAGTATTAGGTAAGGATAGCAGGTCAAAAGATGGAGTAATGAAACTTCATCATTTGAGGTGGTTGGAACATGTGTTACGTATGGCTAACCAATGACTGCCTCGTCGAGCTGTTTTGCGATGTAGGAATAAGGATGGACGAAAGCTAGGGGCGGCCAGACCAAAACATGAAAGAAATACATAAAGTCACTGACAAGTGGACTAAGTCCTGTTGGTAGGTGTCGACTAACTGGTTGAGGTCAGCGGGATGATAGTAATCGATGGTTAAAGATCCTAAATGACATGGTTCGAAACCGTTTACAATGGTGCAGGTGCATTTACTCTTTCTGTTCTCTCAAATTTTAACCTTCTGAACTACTCATCACCCCTATCTTTCTTTTTCTAAATTTACCTCACTGAATTATACTTCTCGAATAATATCTTCTAATCCTAACCTCTCCGATTACTTCTAATACCTTTACTACCTCTACAACTATGGTATTTGAATTGACAATTATATCTCTGTGCTAAGATGGTATGGCAACTTGAACCGCTGTACTTACGTGCAAAGTTCTACGTTGCTGTTGATGACGATGATGTATATAACATTCTGATCACGTTAGACTACGACAAATTACTTTAGAGCCTCATGGCTTTATCAGTGATCATCGAGCGACCAGTTGATATGTTTAAGCTTTATTACGCGTTCATAATTCTGTACAAAGAATAATGCAGACTGATAGATAGAATCTAATCATCACTAATCATTTGACGAACAGGGTTGTGATCACTACTAACAAGTGTCAAATAAATGCAGTTCGTTTCTCTCCAACTTAAAAGTAGTTATTCCGAATTCGTTTCTAAACGTTTACTGCAACTACATAGGGAAGCTGTTGGAATGTATCAAAGAAATAAATCCATAAGTCTTTGATTAAACTGTAAAAATGTATTAAATTTTCCTCAAGATTTATTATGTTTTGTTGATTTTGCCGGAGGATTCTCTTGTTGACTTGGATTATGGTGCAGCAGACGTAGCCACTATCTATTCTATCATCCGCGACACCATAAGATCCACCTGAGTGTCTTCCAGTTTCGCTTAATCTACCTACGTAATCATTGAATTCACCAGCCATTGTTACGTTATCAGAGCGCTTAACAGTGTTTGTAATTTAGTTTAAGGTTTACTAAGTATATAAGTACATTAATATTTAAACGCTACAAAAAACTTTATTGGACGTTAACAGTGCTCAGTTGAATGAAACTGATAACAAGTGTCCGCAAAGTTAGTTTAGCTGTTTACAATATATCATAGTTCGTAAATTTATGTATCCATGTCGAAAAAAGTTAGTTTATAATAGATTTCTTTATCCACTGGATGACAAGTGTTTTTACCATTTAACACAACATTCAAGAGATAGTCATTCATAACATAAGGTTTCAACTTTTAGTGTAGCACAATCGACATTATTATGATCCTTCTATAGTGTTATAAGCTACAAAAATTGGGCGTTATCGAATAAAGTATTCGTAAGAATGGATCAACATTCGGCTGACAAAGAGAAACGAACATTTTCAGAATCTATGGCTATTATCCAACATTAAAATCAGTCCTTAATCAATGCTATTATACGAAAAATTGATATAAAGCAGATACCATTTTGCTTAGTTATGGAGGTTTCGTTCTTTGCGCTGGATAGTTTGGCCGTGGAAATTTCATTGTTCTTCTGAACATCATCAACACAAACCCCAAGTAGAACTGGAGTGTTCGAATTTTTTCACATAAGACTCTCAACTTTTCCTGCTGAACTCAATCTTTAATGGTTTTTACTGTCCTTTTTATTTTGATCTGATTCTTGGTCCCACATTTGTTTATGATTTTTCTGATTGGCTGATAAATTGGATCAACTTTGATATTCCTACTAACTGTTGACTGACCTGAGTGCTAAGCGTCTAAAAGTTCTTTAATGTTCTTAGTATTACCCCTATTTATCAACATTTTTCTAGTCAAATATGTGTCCAAATTTGTTGAATTAATTAGTGATTTCGTTGGTTTATGTGCAACACTTATTCCAAACGGCTTTGGTAATCTCGTTGCGATTTCTGATATTATATATATAGCAGGATGATTCATCGATTGATTTCTATACTTGACAGCGTTCTTGTTGATGAGTTGGGTAGTTAATTTTTGTAATTGAGGGAGTAGCCGTTCTTAATCATCCAAAGAGACGAGAAATTCGAACATTTTTATTGGGATCATAAATTGTTGATTTTCGACCAGATTGAGTGGTGATGACATAATATAAATGTTATTTTAGCATTTACATTAAATCAACACGACTTAGTACTTACCTCAATATCTGGATTTTTCTTACGGACAGCTTCCAAATATGGGGAACTCTCAGCCAACTGTCTGCTGGGAGAGGATAAAAAGTAAATATCTCTCTGACCTGCGTGCATTCTACTAGCATATTCATCTAAACAAGTAGTTTGACCAGGAGGTAAGGCAGTTGACTCCCAACGTAATAATTTAGCTATTTCTTCCCGTAATTTTTGATCTCCCTCAATCACTAAACCTTCTTTCAAATAGAGGCCATAGTCATCCAAAAAGTTGATAAACTTGTCTGTTTCCCGCGATGCTTGTTGCTGTAGTAAAGAACAAAATATGTAGTCTATATCTAGAAATTTTGAACTCATTAGAAAACTATGTGGAGTGCAGCATGGGATACTAATAGTAAAGCCCAAGTATATAATCTTAAAGAAATAACAAGAAATAACTTTAGGAATATATCGAATAGTATAAAGCGACTTAATCAAAGTTCGTTGTACAGTATGATGAAGGCAATGGTGTTATTTTATCCTATTCAGTAAAAACAAAACTTGAGTGGTTATTTCTGAAATTCATTTATCATTCGTTATCAGGCATTGCTGTATTTATAAATTCAACGGTCATTAAGTTGTTGCAGTGACTATATTATGTACGTGTATTTTTCTCAATCAAAGTAACGTTTTAGACTGTGGATCTCAGTGTAGTCTTGTTATTAACAGTAAGATATCTAGGTCTTTATTCTGATTTATTAGGGGAAACGGTAGGACCAAGGCAAAGTCTCACTCCTAACAATACTGGATTGTAGTAAAAGTAGGATTATCAGGATTTCCAGTGTTAGTGCATTCCCACAATAGAATGATGAGAAAAGTCGACCCCGAATGGCACGCCCCAATTCCCTCCATGGATCTCCATAGTTGGTGGAAAGGACTGATAGGAACTGAACAAAACCTACTCACAGAAAGGTCGTGAGTAACTGGACGCGCAGTGCATTCATTCTTTGTGTTCTCTCAAATACTAACCTTTAGAGTTCCTCATCACCTTTATCTAATTCTTTGTAAGCTTATTTGACCAGATTCTACTTCTTGAATAGTATCTTCGAATCCGTATCTCTCCGATTATTGCGAATACTTTTACTACCTCTACTATTATGGGATTTGAAGTGACATTTGCATCTCTGTGCTAATGTGGTATGGCAACATGAATCGATGTACGTACGTACGAAGTTCTACGTTGCTGTTGATTGATTGATTGTGTGATTGGACTCAAATGCTAATCATTTGGGCTCAAAAATTACGATTTCAGTTTGCTAAGACTACTAGCAATCTGGGTTTTAATTTCTGTCACATAAAATTAGGACGTAAATTATTTCGAAATATGCAGAAAATATTTGTAGTTAACTTACAGATAAAAATTTTAGGAACCTGACAGTTACTAAACGATTGATGCGGCGTACAAGTGAATTATCTTGTAACAATTCCCTACTCAAGTTTAAAGGGATGTCCTCGCTATCAACAACACCACGCAAGAAACGTAGCCATTTCGGTAAGAGTACTTCTGTACGATTCATTATCATAACCTATTAAAGAGGAAAGAAAAGCGAATACATTTAGAGAAACAAAAGTGGTAACTTACGAATAAGCAACGAATGTCAGCTGTAATAATAATAATAACTACAGAAACCATCTACTAAGTTGACATACCTTCCGACTGTATAGTGCTACACCATTGTCTGAATCACGCGCCATGTCAAATATGCTAGGTTTCAAGTTTGGTACATACAAAAGTACTCGCAAATTTATTGGTGCATCCGTTTTGTACGCAAAAGTGTAACGTGGACTATCATATTTGTTACCGCAAAGATACTGGTAAAATGATTTGTGTTCTTCATCAGATACCTGGAAGAAAGAAATAACAGGAAAATCGAAAATCAATTATGTGCAGTGATATATATTTCCGGATAAAATGAAATGAATCGGTTGGAACGCACCGAACCATTACACAATAACTTTTAATGTTAGAATAAAGAGTGTGAGATACTGAGGTTAGAAGTAGGATACTACATAACGATGGCGAACTGGTTGATACGGTAGCAGATCTCTATTGCCTGCAGTGGTTTGGACAGGTAACATGTGTGCTCGACCACTATCTACACCGACATATGACTTTTGCCGGTGTACGTTAGATGAGAACTAGGAGCAGCCAAACCAATCAGTTTGTGAAATTATTGACTGTTGGACTAAGGTGCGCTGGTAGGTGCAAACTATGCGGTTGAGATCAGAGCGATTATTGTAACCAACAGTTAGATGCTGAGTGACGGGTTAGAGTCAGTTATAATAACCCAGATATACTCATTTTTTGTCTTACCTTAAGTCTAGAAGTTTAAAATTATTTTATACTTCTCTCAATGCATTCTTTTTTCTCAATCCCTATTGTCTACCCCTATTATTTTTTACTACCACCAATACTGTTATTTCTTCGGCTAACATGGCATTTGTTTTGAAAATTTTATTTCGTCATGCAGATATGTTGTTAGTTGAACTAATGAGCATATTATTCAGAATCTAAGTCACCTACGACAAAAAGCCTCTATGTTATCGATCTTAACTGTTAGAAAACCTATCCTAAAGGCGATAAATAAAGACTAACGTTTTCATAAAAATAAATATCTGGAAAAATTTAAGTTCATTATAATTTAATACTAAGTAGTAAATAAGTACACTGAATAATGAAACAAAGAACGTGCATCTTTGTTGCAAGGTTTGAAGTTGCAAAATATTGATCATTCAAAATCATGAAAAAACTATGGCATTTATTAAACAAGGAGTAAAGATCAACTTCGCATGTAAAAACTTACTTCTGATTGGTTTTTAGTCCATAGTGGTTCAATCTCATTGATTCGTTGGCCATTCAGATAAATAGGAGTACTAACGAAATTGCTGTACTTAAGGAGGATACGTTTCAATACATCCTCTTTTGCAAATTCAGAAGCCGAATCCTTCAGGTAAAGTACAATTTTTGTACCACGATTAACATTTTCGGCATCACCGATTTCATATTCCCCATTAAGACCAGAAGAAGACCAATGACTTCCAACTTCCGATGGGTTCGTATCCAAGTGACTACGAGAAAAAACATCAACCTACACAAGAAGAGATAGAAAGTAAACAGCGATTAGAAACACACCCACACACCAAATATAACCAATGAACAATATTGATTAAACTGGTTTTATCAAAAACTAGTTGATCATTGAAATTCGGGATTCCTGAAGATACAAAGAAGTACATGAAACAGAGATGGCGCTCAAACTATTAAAACACAGTTCCATATCCCATGTAGGTGACACAAGTGATATCGTGAACACTTAATTTGTAACAATATATATTATCGATAGAATATTAAGTGTTTGGAGATTTTAAAGGTACTAAACAGACAACTCAAAACAAAATACGCTCGATCGATATTTCTGAGTCGTATTATTGGGGAAAAATGATACCTTTTGTGACAATAGATTTTTCTTAGTAATTTACATTATTCTACGCTGTGTATTAAAAGTCATATTATAATATTCGGAGTTCTTTCTGTACCCCGTTAGCTCTTGATCGTATACTCAGAAAGTTAGTAAGAACGAGTATTTTTCCTTAGTTCGGAGCAGCTTACTATCTCAAATTTAGTGTCATTTCCGATGTTCTTTATACCTATTATCTCACCTCTTCGTGCTGCTTTTAAATGCGGTAACTCGAAGGAACCCACTGCTGTATTACATTTTACTATGTTACAGTTAATTATTTAGTGCAAATAAGCTCCTTATTAGGTATAACGAAGCTCCTAAACCTAGTCATTCATATTGACGTGTAGCTCTATCACTCTTTAGTTTTACTTGTATCACAAAGCACTACAGCATGGCACACTACTAAACTTATATTTATATTAATACCGAGGAAATGGAAAAGTTAGTTCTTTAATTAACTCACTAATTGTTATAGTCATTCAGTCAGTCAGTTGCAACGTAGAACTTCGTACGTATGTACATAAGTTCAGGTTGCCATACCACATTAGCACAGAGATGCACATGTCAAATCAAATCCCATAGTGATAAAGATATTAGAGGTATTAATGGTAATGAAGAAGACTCGGGTTTGAAGATATTATTCAAGAAGTATAATTCAGTGAGATAAGGTTAGAAAGATAAAGGTAGAGGTGCTGACGATTCCAGAAGATTAGGATTTGAGAGAGCTTAAAGAGTGGATGCACCTGCGCCATTGCAAACGATTCTGAGCCATGTCGTTCAAGGTCTCTAACCATTGATGACTTTCGTCTCGCGGACCCCAACCAGGTAGTCTACATCTACCAACATGACTCAGTCCACTTGTCAGTGACTTCATGGATTCTATAAAATACTATTTACGATCTCAAAAGAAAAAAAACGTAATCATGTATAAAATTAAGTAAATAACTTTTTTAGTAAAGCAATAGGATCAACATCGTTTAGTTTACTAAAAACAAATACGGCTAATCGCTCACATTTAATTAATTAATTAATCCATTGGCATTACCAACTATGTTGTATGAGGTATTTCAATAAAACATCAGTAAATATTATTTAAACGAATAAAACGTCGGTTACCTTATCAGCTACCATAAAACAGGCATAGAAACCAACTCCGAATTGACCAATAATATCAACAGGTTTTTGACTATCCTTATCATCATTTATATTAGAAACAAATTCTCGACTTCCGGAATGGGCTATAGTTCCAAGATTTTTTTCCAACTCATTTTTTGACATTCCAATCCCTGTGTCTTGAATGATAAGAATTTTCTTCGCTTCATCCGTCTTCATGTGTATTTCCAAAGGTCCATCGCTAGAACTAGTTGAAACTTGACCAGAAAGACGCAGAAATTTCAGGCGCTCTATAGCATCACTTGCATTTGAGATCAACTCACGAACGAACACCTTAGTAAAGATTAAAAAGCGAAACATGCCTTTCAAAAGCTTTAATTGCAAAGCTTCTTTCCAACGTATTGAATTTCTTTCTAGCATACAAAGCTTAAAGATGAATTCATCAAATAACTGAATCGAGAATTTTTTTACTTTTTGGGATTACGGTATTAATAAGATCTTCACATTTGCCGCACACAGATGGAACACAAACTATAGTTTTTCCAAGTAAATCTTAGATTTTCTGGATATCTATTCATAGTGCATTGCAATGTACGTCAGCCTAAAGCTGAATCCGGAGATTATGCACCATCTCATAATAGTCACCACAATTTGGGAGAAAACAAAGAATGGATGCACCTGCGCCATTGCAATGTGCACAGAGAGACCTCCTGTAGAATAGTGATTGGATAAGTTGACTCCGTAAATGTTTACCGACTAAAGCTATTACCTAGACGTGGTGGACAAGCGTGCCTATTGTGATGACCCAAACAAACTATATTCGCTAAAACATGTTCCTTTCAGTTAAACCATGCCACGCAGGTTCACTGGAGAACGATAAGACTAAAAGCACCAACTCAACGTCTGAGGGTGAAGTCGTACTGCTGACTGTAGAGGGGTGTGACAACTGTAAAGTGTTTCCCTCAGACGACCAGCATCTGCAGCGATGCTGCGCTCTCACATTAGAAGGCCGTGTGTGTAACCAAACTCATGCAGCTATCGCTTGAACTCTGTAGTCACACTCCCAGGTTGCCAAGACCAACGCCAAACTAACTTCGATTTCAGGGACTCACAGAAACACACTTCCATGGTGTGGACAACCTGGTAGAAGTCACATCCGTCGTCACAGTTGTAACAACACACGAGATCAACTTCCTCACAATCAAATCCTTCCAACACCTCTAACTAACCTTCTTACCTCCATGACTAACCCTTCTCCTATACCGTGATCACCTCGTGTCGCTGATGCGAACGTTCCGAGTACACGAAACATATTTTCTGGTCACCTGAAACTACGCTCTAAACTAGACAGTCGCCATCATCTGATCTTTGAGCAATGACACTATTATTATATTAATCCGCTTAACTTTTTGAAGGAGTTCTGATAACTTTCAGTAAAACTTATCTGTAATCGCGTCAGAACTGCAGTTTGTGAGGGCGCGAGGTGACAAAGGAACAAAAGAAGGGTTGGAGTTAGGTGTAGTAAAGACTTGAGTGTGACCGATTTGGTCTCATGTGCTTTCACGGGTATGAGGGCGGCTGCTTATACAAAGGAGAAGTACTTCTTGAGGAACCTGAAAAGGAAGGTAGATCAGTGTTGGTCTTAAAGATCTGCGAGCATGACCGCACAGCCCGAAAAAACACTGCTTTAGGCCGCTCACGCAAGACTTCTTATGAGAGGTTTTTAGAGTATTAGCCCCGCTCTTGTTTAAAAGGCCTTACTGCCAGAGACGGAAACCCGTGAGGTAAAGTGACGTGCTGGTTGTCTGAGGGGAACACCTTAAGGCTGTCACACCTCTCTCTACAGTCAGCAGTACGACTTCGCCCTCAGGCCTTGAGTAGCTGCTTCTAGTCTCATCGTTCTCCAATCGACCTGACTGGTATGGTGGAACCTACAGGAACATATGTTTTAGTCAAAATGGCTCGGTCGAGTCATATTCTGGGACCACCGACTAAGCAAGAGTATTAGGTAAGTAGTGCATATGAAAGATAATTAATTGTCTACTACATTCTCATCAAACAAACATGATGCTTTCAGCGATTGGTAAATTCAACAGTTTTTTGTATATGATCTATTCTTAAATTCATTCAAGTTAGATAAAAACTATCTCAGTTACAAACATGCATATATACATTGATGAAGAATTATCAATAATATTGAACACTTGCATTAGTTTCAATAAATAAGAGATTAATTCAAGAAAATTTGCATTGTATCAAAAATACCTACTCAAAACTCGTCATAGGTAAGGAATTTTTAGTGCAAGAACTTATCAATTAGCAAGCCAATGGAACGATGGATTATAACAGGGATAAATTCACACTGGCTTAAAGCTATTTGCAGAATAATTAAATGCTTGTAAAATAACATGAGGAAATAAAACAGAACTGCCTTCGTGTGAATAAATGTGATGGACGTCAACTTGTCTGGCTGCCTCTAGCTTTCCGCCAGACTACTCCTACACTAGACAGCATAGCCCGTCGGGGTAGTTAGTGTCCCGACCACCTCAACTGATGAAGTTTAAATACTTCATCTATTGATTTGCCATCCTTACCCAGTACCTTTCGTCTTAACCCCAGAATCGTTTACTTAGTGATCCCAGGATATGCGCGAAACGCTGTGAAGACACGAGTTGTCCAGATTAATATATGCCGTTTAGGCTGTTACTGTTTGTAGATTCATCTCATCAACTGTCATCACACACTAATACAAGTGCCCAGATACATGAACACTTAGACAACACCCTACAATAAGTGATGTCCAACCACTAAAGACTACATGTGCCATTTAGTGTAGTAATATTTGAACAGCTACAAAATGCACCTAATTCTTTATGAAGTAGTCATTAATGAAAATAACGAAACAAGCGCAAACGAGCTACATGTCTTTACTTAAATTTTCATATGCACTTTTCTAAATAAAAGGCGTAATGGATGAAACGAACTGAATACAGTGGTTAAAATGAGTTCAAGTTCTGTCTCATCTATTCATATGTTGATTAGCATCACTGATTCTTATATGAATTATAACTGAAGTCGAGTACATAAACTAGATTTTAGTCAAAAAGTTACACTAAGTTGAAACTTCTTGAAGAGCTTGAAACAACTTGGAAACGGATAGGTCACCCTTCACAAACTGTTATATTTGTCACTAACCTCTCTGTCTGAGTACAAAGATTTTGCAACGATATCCAGTAACTTTTGAGTTTCAGCTTGAAATCCTACTTTTAGTTTTGGACCACAACTGCGTTCATTATCATCAATAACGGCGCGCTTGGGGCTTTCATCTTCAGTCGTTTTAAAAGCTGTACAATACGGCACATATTTCTGTTGAAGTAATTTACGACCGCGTAACGTTCTAAAGTCCTGCTTAAAGTTGCACAGAATGGAAGGAGAACGACCCAAAATCCTGAAAAGCGTTGACATGTAAACTAGCAAAAATCCAGTATATTTATGAGATCTAAAATAGTTAACAAGAAAGTTATATTTAGTAAACATCGGAACTTTATACTCGGAATAGTATGAAGCAAGTGAGAACGTGTTACGGTTGCAAATAATAGCGAGATAAAATGGAACAGTAAAAAAGTATTAACAAATTTAACAATACCCAATGTACATCCCCTTATTATGATACGTTCATGCATTTTCTTGTAAGAGGATCATTTCTAACCTAACACGGTCGAGTAGGTTGAAGAATGAAGGTAGGCGGCCCATGCTCCGCAAGAGGTAACAAACGTAAGTAAGTAGGTACTGACATTTTTAAAGTTATCTTAGAGCTGGCATTTGAGGTGTGGTCTTATTTATTGAGCATTTTCTGATTATTATATTCCGTACGATGAAACCTTGATAAATTGATCACCGATTAAAAAGGACGAATTAACGAAGCAAAGTCAAAAATTTTGCAAAACTAAGAACGAGCGGCAAAACCCAGTAAATGAGGTACAAAAGGAATATGATACAAAAGCAGATTAGAGCTAACCAATTCACTTGTGACGGTCAAGTATAAGACATGGAAGAGACAGGGACCACCCACTTGAAAAACACTGCGTAAATAGGTAGCCTACACATTTACAAGAGGCTGATATTGACAAACGGGACGAAGACTAGTGGGTTTCAAATCAAAAGTATCAACTGCGTGTATAGGAACGCTTTAAGTTTACCAGACAAAATGGACCAGTCGTGTGTAGACTACCCGGTTGGAGTCCGCGAGACAGTCAGTCAGCTAGAATGCAGAACCTCGTACGCACGTAAATCACTTCGAGTTGTGATACCACATTAGCACAGAGATGCAATAATCAATTATAATCCCATAGTAGTAGAGGTGATCGAAAAGATTAGGGTTAGAAGAAATCATTCAAGAAATATATTCCAGTAAAATAAACTTAAAAACTGATACGAAAAGGTCTTGAACTAATGAGGTCATGAGAGAAGACAAAGAATGGATGCATCTGCGCCACTGCAAACGATTCTAAGCCATGTCAAAGTCTCCAACTATCAGTTACTTTTGTCTAGCCGACCCCAACCAGTTGATAGTGACTTTATAGAGTTGTACCATGTTTGTTCTGACCGCCCCTAGCCTTCTCCCAACCTACTCTAACAATACAAAACATCGCTCGTCGAGGCAGTCAGTAGTTAGGCATACGTAACACATGTTCAAACCATCGCAACTGATGAAAATTCACTGCTTCATTATTCATTAGCCATCTTTAACCTGTGACCGTTTGCTAACACCACCAATGCTCACTTGATTGTTCTAGGATATGAGGGCAACACTTCGAAGACACTTATGATCGAATACTGCTGAGTTATGAATATACTCTAGTCTTGTTGTAATGCTTGCTTAAATAATTTCTCTGACCACAATACACTGGACAAGTTCCAAAGAATCAAAAACACGGTTGAACAGGAAAAGATTGTATTCCAAATAGCAAGGTTAAATGGAAATAAGAAGCCAAAGGTGATGGCGAAGGCAAAAATAGATACAACGTTAGTTTATTTATAGCATTTACATGAGAAGCTTCTGGATAGAAATTCACGTGATCGATTGGATTAGATTTAGCCAATCAACATGCAGCTAACAGTACGAGAATTTTCTACCCTGTTCTCCGAGAATCGATCAGGCGCTGATTGGATAGCAAATTAGCCAATCAGCACGTAGCAACGTAGTCATGCTTTAATTCCATCTATGTCCCACTAACAACTCTTGCTGGCCATGTTTCACACTCATAGAGATAACAGTAAGTGATGGTTAGAGACTTTGAATGACATGGCTCAAAATCGTTTGCAATGGCGCAGGTGCATCTACTCCTTGTCTTCTCTTAAATAATAATCTTTTAAATTCCTTATAGCCTTTTTTCTGATGTTGCATTTCACTGGTATATATTTTAGGAATCATATCTTCAATCCACAATCTTTTCGATTACCGCTAATACTTCTACTACCTCTACTACTATGAGATTTGAACTGAAAATTAGATCTCCCTGTGCTACTATGGTATGGGAACTTGAAATGATGTACGTACGTATGAAGTCTTACATTGTAACTGACTGATGAGATTGTTGATGCGACTATTTATTATCCGCAGACTACTATCCCTAGCAACATGGTTTTAGGAAGAGGCTCTCCTGTGTAAGCAACCTGTTGGCTGCGATGGAGAACCATCGTTGGTTGTACGGGGGAAGCTGATGTGAAATATTTTGACTTCTCAAAACTTCTGATAGGTCAGTCAGTCAGTTGCAACGTAGAACTTCGTACGTATGTACATAAGTTCAGGTTGCCATACCACATTATTAGCACAGAGACGCAAATGTCAAATCGAATCCCATAGTGATAAAGATAGTAGAGGTATTAATGTTAATAAAGAAGACTAGAGTTCGAAGATATTATTCAAAAAATATAATTCAGTGAGATGAGGTTAGGAAGACTAAGGTAGAGGTGCTGGCTAGTCCAGAAGATTAGGATTTGAGAGAGCTCAAAGAGTGGATGCACCTGCGCCATTGCAAACGATTCTGAGCCATGTCGTTCAAGGTCTCTAACCATTGATGACTTTCGTCTCGCGGACCCCAACCAGGTAGTCTACATCTACCAACATGACTCAGTCCACTTGTCAGTGACTTCATGGATTTGTGCCATGTTTTGGTCTGGCCGCCCCTAACTTTCTTCCAACCTACTCCTACACCACAAAACATAGCTCGTCGAGGCAGTCGGTGGTTAGGCATACGTAACACATGTCCCAACCACCTCAACTGATGAAGTTTCACTACTTCATCTATTGATCTGCCATCCTTACCTAGTACTCGTTTCCTAACGACAGCATTGCTTACTCGGCTGTCCCACGATATACGAGCAATGCTTCTTAAACATCTATGATCGAATACTAGTAACCTACGAACATCTTCTACTCTTAACGGCCATGTTTCACAGCCATATAAGAGAACGGAACGAACTGCTGCGCAGTACACCCGCCCTTTGGTTAACGAACGGATATCACGCCTACGCCATAAGTGACGAAGGTTGGCAAAAGCCAATCGAGCCTTCTGTATCCGAGCTGAGATTTCGTCAGTCACCAGACCGTCAGCACTGATGAGACTCCCCAGATAAGTGAAGTGATCAACACGCTCGACTACTTCACTCCCTATCACTAGTTCAGGTACCAATGCAACCCAGTCTTGAAGCAACATTTTGCATTTCGAGGGGGAAAACCGCATCCCGAACATGCTCGCATTGTTGCTTATGGTAGTCAGAAGACTCTGCATTTTGTCAGCGTCTTCACCGAATAGAACTATGTCATTGGCATATTCTAGATCAGTAAGCGACTTTCCTGGTAGAAGGTCAACCCCTGAAAAATCTGACGAGCTTAATGTTAACTCTAAGAGGATGTCTACGACAAAGTTAAACAAGAATGGAGAGAGTGGGCAGCCCTGACGGACACCACTTGATGTAGAGAATTCAGATGACAGTTCGCCATATGCTCTCACTCGACCAGTGGTGTTCGAGTAGAGTGCTTTTATAAGGTTAATGTACTTCTTTGGTACACCTTTCAATGACAGACACTGCCACAGAACCTCACGATCCACTGAGTCGAATGCCGCCTTAAGGTCCAGGAACACGACTATTGTCGGACGTCTAAATGTGTGTCTGTGTTCCAGGACCTGTCGTAGTGTGAAGATGTGGTCTATACAACCACGTCCAGGTCGAAAACCAGACTGGTTTTCTCGAGTCTGCTCTTCGCGAGCTCTAGTTAGACGTCTAAGTATAATCGAGGCTAACAATTTAGAAACTATATTAGTTAAACTTATTCCCCTGTGATTGTCACAAGAGGACTTCTGTCCTTTCTTGTAGATTGGGACAATTAGCGACTGAGACCAGTCAGATGGGATTACGTCCATTTCCCAGATTCTACCTAGGATCTCGGTCAGTCTAACCGTTAAAACTGGACCACTATCCTTAAACATCTCAGGGGTAAGCCTATCAGGACCTGCCGCTCTACCTCCCCTTAGATTTCCTATAGCTTTCTCAACTTCATGTAAACTGGGAGGACTTAAATCGATTTGCCATTCAGGATGACTGGAGATCGTGGGCAACCGAAGAGTGGCTGAAGGCCAGTTGAACTGATCCCTAAAGTGTTCTGCCCATCGGTCCAGCCTCCTAGATTGAGAATGGATAATAAGACCATCCTTTTCCGAGATAGTCTCACTCACATTCGGGTTCCTAATACCGGTTTCTCTGATAAGGCGGAAAAGTTGTCTAGTGTTGCCTATCGCCGCTGCCTTTTCCATCGCTTTTGCTTTCGCCACCCACCACTGTTCACGGTCGTTACAATCCATCTTCCTTTTCAGGTTCCTCAAGAAACAACCTTCCATGGTGTGGGCAGCCGGGAAGTGATAACCGCCCTCATACCCGCAACAGCACACGAGACAAAACTTCTGATAGGTCAATCATATACGTCTTATTACTGAGTTTAAACTGTTAAGTATCAGTCCACTTTTAACAGACTGGTTAACATCACACCAAACTAATCGACTTTTTAAGGTCAGAACTAACGTTAATTTTCCTCAGGCTACAAAATATCCTAGTGTAGTCTCTCGTGGTTTACTAATGGGACCATTTCTCTTCTTGAAAAGTATAAATGACCTTTCTTAAGATATATCGACTGAGTAATTAATTTCCATTGACGATTTAAAACTTCGGAGAGAAGTTTGCTACCAAGATGATAAGCTTAAACCTTGAGAGGATCAGACTCAACTTCATGACAACGGACATACTTCAAACACTTCGAAGTGAATGGTAGCTTACCTGTGTCTCAAGTTGGAAAAGATCTAAGCATCTTGGTATCCCATGATCTAAAGTCTGAGGATAACTGTTAAAAAAACGCTGTTCGAGAAAACTGCACTAGTAACGTTAAAGTGCATTTCTGGATAGTTTGTTATTAGAACGTTTCATTTAATCTTTGAGTGAGGAAATATAGCGTTATCACCGTCACTCCAAAAAGACAAGAATACACTGGAATATCTCCAAAGGCGAGCCACGCAATCAGTTCGAGGACTAAAATTCAAACCTTAGGAGCCACTTAAGTCACTGGATCTTTACCCGTTAGATTAGAGGCGTCTCAGAGGCAAACTGATGACTAACGGCGTTCTGAGCGCTACTGAGCATCTCCTTACTGAGGCTCAGTCTCAACAAGAATCTGAGGGGAAATATCCAGAAACTAGAGGCACGCCATCGCAGGATGGATTGAAGACACTTACTCTGGTAGTCAGATTCTGGAATTAGCTACCGCGGTGGCTCAAGTGATTTCCAGAAGTCCTTCGAGAAGAAACCTGATATCCTTGTGGATTCAGGACAGTATTTTATCAACATTTACAAATATTCCTCTTCTATTCGCTTAACACAACTGTGTTCTCACCTAGATGCATCGGTGATTCATTGCTACCAAAAATCGAAGCCCGTCAAGCCGAAGCTTTTATATATTTTTCCACAACTATTCGAAAATTGTAGAAACCATTAAGCAATTTAGGCTTTTTCTAGATTAAAGTGCAGCCTTTTGCTCGTAAACATAAACTATACTTTTAGTACCATTGACAGAGGAGGATTCAACTCAGTAGTCCAATAGAACATCTCAAAATTCAATAGACAAACCAATATAAAAAACCAGAAGTAAAGCCACTATGAGATCAAGTCAATTTGATAATCGAAACCATATGCTGTTAGAGAAAGATTCTGAGTGCGTTGTACACCACTTACACAATCAACCCGCGACTAACTTACACTGGGAGATACAGTGACCTTGAACAATATCCAATATCGTTCACGAGCTAGTACAAACTAATCGATTAATCTGCTCTTGCTTCTTGCTTCTTTTTGGAATGGTCTCAGGTATCCAGTGAGTCCCAGTGGGTCTAGCTACTCGTTTTTACCAATTCTATTCATTTGACAGTTCTTCACCAATTCGCATGTCTATTGAGTTGAGTTTGTTTCGAGGCAATTAGATTTCTGGAACTATCAAATGAACCATTAATATTTTGTCTCAACAGTTGGTCAAGCTGTCTCACACCATGCGAATGTTGGACGCGCATGACCTGCCCTTCTTAAACCTGTATAGCGCTTCATGAAGGATGTTGTCCGTATTTATAAACTCCTTATTTACTCATTCAGTAGCCTTACCGTTACCTTTGATAGCACTGGAAGAAAAACGATTGGGATCTAGCAGGCTTGGTTCTTTCTATCTCCTTCTTTTAAAACTGGAGAGAAAGTAGCCTATTTCCGTAAGTTCTGTAAGTTCGTATGACTCCAGGAATGCCTAAACAGGTCACCTACCGGTGAAATGAGGGCTTCTGAACACTGTTTCAAGAATATAAGGCGAATATTTTCGAATCCTGGTGAATCTTCTGGGCGCAAGAGCTTTGGTCTTCTTATAATTAAGTCAGGAGTAAGTTGAATATTCCCTAGGCAGTTAGTCGGCACTAGATTTTAGTAGTGCTCTGAAGGTGTAGGTAATTGGTCTACCTGACAGGTGAAGTTGGTGTTGAAGATCTCAGCCATCCCTAGGGTGGTGAGATCTTTATTTGGACCTTTGGGGGCACAAACACACTTGTTTGGGATTTTCTTTTAGTCACCAACCTAAAGAGATATTTTCAATTTGCACGTATTTTAGCAGCTATTCCTCAATATCAAATATAACTGCTGTTAGAATCCTTCAAGGAGACCTGCCCTTATTCCGGGCTCCCCTTTTTGCCTGAATCAATCGTTAATTGCCCAGCCTAACCCAAATTCTTCACTTTCCAAGTGTTGAAAGTGTCTGAGTTACATTGTATAGGAGCATATTCTGAATAATTCATTCCCGTGTTCTCCAGTGATCTTCTGCTGTCAGCCTGCACTATTCCTATAGCCATTGTGCTTATAGAAGAGGTTACCCGTGGACGTATAGCTTTCCTTATTGTTGCACTGATAGGATTCGTTTCCGTTCCTCTTGAACATTTCATTTATGACAATGTTAAATATAACTGCGACACGGTCACTACAGTCTGTTGGTGTATGGACGTAAATATCGTCTATCAGAAGCTGATCATTTGTTAAGAAGTAATGCAAGTTTGCGGATTTTCCATCATTAGTCGATCTAGTGGCGCCGCATGCAAACTCAGTCAGTCAGGAACTTTGGATGGCTGAGCCAAGTCACCTGAGTAACCGACCTATGGGAGTTGTACGCAGTTTGCTGAAATTTAGAGATGGAGTGTTGAAATATCGAATTTGAATGCACTATTATTTTTTCTATACACCATATAATGTCGGACCGAATGCAGGATGAAAACCAGGAAGATAACTTAATTCGTCGGAATTAAAAGTGAACACTGTTAATCCATGAAATTCTTACTTTCTTATTTTTTCATTTCTGTGATCCGCAGTAGTCATTCGATTACTGGCAGCATTGTTTCGAGTGAGATATTATCAAATCTGCGAAAAATATGTGCCAAAGAAGTTCGTGATCCTAAGTTGAGTCCCACGTCTCACGTCTCAAACCGGTGTGTAGTCGCGGTATGGCTGGTACATTATTTTTTTATAACACTAAGTACACAGGCGAATCGCCTCTAAACAACCCAATGAAATAGTGTGACGTAGTTAATATAAGTGGTCAAATTAAAAATGAAGTCATTTAGTAAACTGATTTATAACTGTTACGGTAAATGTTGTTACTTTGCCGTAGTTATATTTTCTAAACATAAATTATCTCGGCAAATCTTTCGATCATTTGCCTACATAGTGATGTACGAAATTTTTCACATTTATGAAGCGGGTTTGACGACAACTATTTATAAGTATCATCAACGTAAATAGAGGTCGCTATTGTATTATTTACTCAAACATTAGCATCGATTTCATAGGCACGGGTTGAGAGTTATATTCCTTTGGGTAGTAAACTATCCACTCCCTGATAATCACATAGACTGAACTCATGCTGTATCTCTGAAAATATTGGAAATTATGTCGTCTACAAATGTAGTTTAAACAGCATAGATTTCAAAGACTCAAAAGAATGATTTAAATCTTTCTTGTGCTTTTGTAAGCCGATACTGAAACTTACCTTATATTCTCGATAATCTCTATCTATCTACCTATCAGCACTAATATAAATAATGGATTAAGTATCCAATCGGAACACTGTGTTCAGACGAAGTTTCTCACGACTATATTCTAGTTGAAAACTGTCATGTAAAGTAGCCAGAATGGTTTATGAATGTCGTGGATATAGTTACTGTTACTAATTCATATGAAAAATTATAGCTTTCTTAATAAAACCATGCACTCAAGACTTTGAATTTCATTAGTTTCGATTGTATTGAAGTCTACATTCTGAAAAGAAAAGGACTTGTCGAAAATAGCCACATCATTGTTCCCCTGTTGCGACCACACTTTTATATGTTTCCTTTCATGTTTAGCACTAGAGAACATTGTATATGAGTTTGATTTTCATGAGCAAAAGTGGTGCATTCGCACGCAGTCAAAACATCTTAATCCAGGATTCTGACTGACGTACCTAAATACTTATTATATGAGTCACAACGCTCTTTTTAAGGGGACGTTAGGCTCTTCAATGTAAAATACATGTTCACATAAGACGAACCATTCGATTAGTCTAAAAAACTCTGAGAGCTTCTAGCGCAGTTTGAACACTGATGTCCAAATCAAGAATGAAATACGATATAATTAATTATCGTCAAAAACAAAACAGATGAACGAACCGTGACACGAAAGGTCTATGCAGCCATTACGCGTCTGATGCACTTATACGAAAATATTGGCACTAGCTCAAGGAACACAAGCAAACCATACGCAGTAGATGACCGGTGGACAAGGCAGGAAATACAACAGTACACCACCTGTACCACTTTATGATCTGACCTTGTTCTTATTTGCACGACTGAAGATGTCATCATCTGTTCAAACATAGCCGAACTCATCATTTCTATCCTTCCTAATGAAATCCCTTGGCAGTGAATAACTTTGATTCTATCATTCCACTTAGCCCGAATCTTCTGACCCGTAAAATCTGACATTGATGTGTAAGCCAGAGGAATGAGACTCCTCTTTACTTCCAGATAACCTTTAATTTCTCCAAACCACCAACCTATCCTAAACCCCACTATCAATTTGACAATCTTACGCAGTGCTTATATCTGCTTATTCTTGCTCTCACAGAATATTCATACGACTTAGCTTCATGAACATCCACTTCAGTAATGAAAATTCAATGAGTCGAACCAGTTAATACAGATGCAACAGGTAAATAATTGACTTACAATCAACAAACACAGCAACTTTATTTCGTTTCGTGATACGCGGTGGCTAGCCGTTAGGTTTGTTTGATACTACACTTCAATGAAGTCTCCGAGTACCTAGATGAGACAGTCCATGAAGGACATAGAAGTCGAGAAGACCGTAAGCAGAGTGTTCGATGGGTCGAGGAAGACCAGTAGTAGTATCACACAGGATAGTACCTGAGCTAGTAGCTCGGGGTACTTCACGGTACTAAAGGGATGTAGAATGATGCACTTCTGCACAGGAGGGATCACTTCCTTGGGCAGCAGCAACGACAGGGAGATCGAGCACCGATAAAGTTACTGCATTCACTTGGATACCTAACAGAGCATCCGCCTTCAATGTGACGAAGGTCTGTCGTGAACTGAGAGATATAGTCCAAATGTCTGCACGCTCGTGGTGAGTAGCGGTCATACTTGGTATGCAAAGCATACGTTAGACGTGAACAAAATGAAGTCTCGTACTATGCTATCGATTAACCTTTGGAAAGTTTGAGCAGCATTCCGTAATCCAAATGTCATTCGTAGGAACTCAAACAGACCGAAAAGAGTCCTGATGGCAGTTTTCTCGATATCTTCAAGAGCGGCTGGAAATTGATGACATGCTCGTAACAGATCAATCTTAGAATAAATGGTCGTGCCCTTGAGTGATGCCGTGATGTCATGTATGTGGGGGATGGGGTAGCTATCAAAACGTCTAGCCACATTTATTGCTCGTTATTCGCCACATGGTCGCCAACTAACCCATACGTTTTGTGAACAGTGTGGAGTGGTCAGGCCCAAGGAATGTAAAAAGAACGAATAATACCAGTAACTAATAAACTGTTAGACTCACGTTTAGCGAGAGCTAAGTTGTCCGCTGCCTGTCAGCGATGTTTTGCCGTGACTGGTGATCCTCGGGTGACGATGTGTTGTACCACATGGTGAGTCACCGATGGAATTTCCTCGAGGGGCTTAGTTAGTTAGAGGAATTTATCAAACGTAGCGTGGAATATATCGTCTCGCGAATATAAAAACGGTTGTGACACGGTACGAAATTATCTGAGCTCAAAAAGCCCATGAATTTGCTGTTCGACGAAATATCGATTTGCTGCAACGTACGTAAATTGACTTACAATTTATAGTGCTGTAGAAAATGGATACCGAGTATGGCTGTAGGAACATCGGCAACGATGAACGCCCACAGATACTGTCGTTGGCTGCTCAGGTTGACTGTTAGCTGTCGTTTACCATAAGCAGGAATGACTGAGCTATTCGCAGCGCATAGTCGAAGCATCATAGCTTGAGACTTGCTGATACCAATCGTTACGACACACCGGTATCTACAAGGTACCTAGCGTTAGTGCAAAAATCGTGCATGTAAAATAAGCTGCCGAATTTAGGTGAGGAGCCGGCGAGTACGGCCACATTTACTCACCGGCACGGGAATTTCCCGCCTTGTATGAGTAG